AATGTGCAGATGACCCCGCAGCAGCAGATGCTGATGTCGCAGAAGATGCGGGGCCCTGGAGACATGATGGGACCCCAAGGCCTCAGTCCTGAGGAGATGGCCCGAATTCGGGCCCAGAACAGCAGCAGCATGTTGGGTGGCCCACAGAAGATGCTTATGCCTTCTCAGTTTCCCAGCCAGGGTCAGCAGGGATTCTCTGGGGGCCAGGGACCCTACCAAGCCATGCCTCAGGACATGGGCAACACCCAAGACATGTTCAGTCCTGACCAGGGCTCGATGCCCATGGGTACTGTGGGTACCACCCGGCTCAGCCACATGCCTCTGCCAGGTGCATCTAATCCTCCTGGGTCCATGCATTCAGCCCCAAACCGGGGGCTGGGCAGACGGCCTTCAGACCTCACCATCAGTATTAATCAGATGGGCTCACCAGGCATGGGGCACCTGAAGTCGCCTACCCTTAGCCAAGTGCACTCACCCCTGGTCACCTCACCCTCTGCCAACCTCAAGTCACCCCAGACTCCTTCGCAGATGGTGCCCTTGCCTTCTGCCAACCCTCCAGGACCTCTCAAGTCACCCCAGGTTCTCAGCTCCTCTCTCAATGTCCGCTCACCCACTGGCTCACCCAGCAGGCTCAAGTCTCCCTCCATGGCGGTGCCTTCTCCAGGCTGGGTTGCCTCACCCAAGACAGCCATGCCTAGCCCAGGGGTCTCCCAGAATAAGCAGCCACCTCTCAACATGAACGCTTCCTCCACCCTGGGCAACATGGAACAGGGTGAGTCAGCTGGGACAGTTCCTCTGTGGTGGGTAGGGCTGGGCTGTCTTAGGAGTACCAAGTGGGTGGGTGTGTAGGTCTGCGTCCATCCCACACCTGGGACTTGGGATCTCCCCTCTGCCTGTGGTCCTGAGACTGCAGGAATTGCTTGAAGATGGGTGGGGTGTGGTGAACATGGGGTGGAGGGCTGTGTTCTGTGGCGTGTGGGTGTTCCTGCAACAATCAGTAGGAGATCTGGGGAGCTGACCTCTTTCTAAATGCCCCAGTAGGAGCGGCCAAACTCTTTCCCTCCCCAGTCATTGCCCTGCTCTCTTTCTGTCTCCTTGGCTTCTCTAGGTGCCCTCCCACCTAGCGGCCCCCGGAGCAGCTCCTCAGCGCCTCCTGCCAACCCTCCCAGCAGCCTCATGAACCCCAACCTACCATTCACTTCCTCTCCAGACCCCACGCCTTCCCAGAACCCCCTGTCACTGATGATGTCCCAGATGTCCAAGTACGCCATGCCCAGCTCCACCCCTCTCTACCACAATGCCATCAAGACCATCGCCACCTCAGACGACGAGCTGCTGCCTGACCGGCCCTTGCTGCCCCCCCCACCGCCACCGCAGGGCTCTGGGCCAGGTGTGAGGATGGGCTGGGGGCACCAGAAATGGGAAGGGGGGCATATGCGTGGCCAACAGTTGCCTTGCAGCCATGCTAGCTTTTCCATGCTTCTCCAGGGCACTGGGTATGGGGTGTGAGGTCCAGGACCTGATTCCCACTCCTGAAAGTTATTTAGCAAAACCCAGCCCAGAGCACTCCAGTGGTCTTTTCAGTGCCCCTTAACACATCCATGGCAACAGGCCAGAATGTGGGCTCTTGGCTTCCAGCTCCAATGCCTATAGTCTCTTCCCTCACAGTGCAGCTGAAGATAGCTAGTGGTGAGAGCTGGTGCTCTAGCACCACCTAACTGGGGAGTAGGGAGGGACTGGGTGCCCACTTCTCCCAGCTGGATGCACATGGCTCCTGACCCCTCTGTCCTCTCCTCACAGGCATCAGCGGCAACCAGCCCAACCAGATGCACCTGAACTCAGCGGCTGCCCAAAGCCCCATGGGCATGAATCTGCCAGGCCAGCAGCCCCTGTCCCATGAGCCCCCACCTACCATGTTGCCCTCCCCCACCCCTCTAGGCTCCAACATTCCACTACATCCCAATGCACAGGGGGCAGGAGGGCCCCCTCAGAACTCAATGATGATGGCCCCGGGCGGCCCAGACTCCCTGAATACCCCCTGCGGCCCTGTGCCCAGCTCCTCCCAGATGATGCCCTTCCCTCCTCGGCTGCAGCAGCCCCATGGTGCCGTGGCCCCCACTGGGGGTGGTGGTGGGGGGCCTGGTCTGCAGCAGCACTACCCTTCTGGCATGCCACTGCCCCCAGAGGACATGCCCAGCCAGCCCCCGGGCCCCATACCCCCCCAGCAGCACCTGATGGGCAAAGGCATGGCTGGGCGCATGGGTGACGCGTACCCCCCAGGGGTGCTCCCAGGGGTGGCATCAGTGCTGAACGACCCAGAGCTGAGCGAGGTGATCCGACCTACCCCGACCGGGATCCCCGAGTTTGACTTGTCAAGGATCATCCCCTCTGAGAAGCCAAGCAGCACCCTCCAATACTTCCCCAAGAGCGAGAACCAGCCCCCCAAGGCCCAGCCCCCCAATCTGCATCTCATGAACCTACAGAACATGATGGCGGAGCAGACCCCCTCTCGGCCCCCCAATCTCCCGAGCCAGCAGGGCATCCAGCGGGGGCTCAACATGTCCATGTGCCACCCCGGACAGATGTCCTTGCTGGGCAGGACAGGTGTGCCCCCACAGCAGGGCATGGTGCCCCACGGCCTGCACCAGGGGGTCATGTCCCCACCACAAGGCCTCATGACCCAGCAGAATTTCATGCTGATGAAGCAGCGGGGTGTGGGGGGCGAAGTCTACAGCCAGCCCCCTCACATGCTGTCCCCACAGGGCTCCCTCATGGGCCCCCCACCCCAGCAGAACCTGATGGTGTCCCACCCGCTGCGGCAGCGCAGCGTGTCTCTGGACAGCCAGATGGGCTACCTCCCGGCGCCGGGCAGCATGGCCAACCTGCCCTTCTAGCAGCCCTTGTGGGGCTCAAGTGGGGTGGTATTGCAAACATGCTAACCTTGAAAGAGTTTCTTCCTTCCAGTGTCGGGACAGTCTGGGGCCAGGGGTGGGT